CCCCCCCCCCCTTCTGGGACTTCTCTGGAAGCTTTTCTCCAGCCTCTGTGGGTCTTCTTTCCCCCCTCTGACTCTCATCTCTCTTCTGATGAAATGTGTGACCCTGAATTCTTTGCAAACTTGCATCTCCGCAGTTGATCTCCAGCCCGCAATCCGTCCTCCCCAATTTCCTCACCACCTGATCCTGTCATGGCGGCTTTCTTTACATGTGCGTGCTGCCGCCTGGGTGCTGCAGACCTTAGCTGTGCAATCTACTGATCGGTTGCTTGATTAATATCAAGTAGATGATCTGCATGTTGCGCAGCTAAGGTCTGCAGTGGCCAGCGAGGATGAAAGGTATGACGGGGGCGCGGCCTTCTAATATAATGCTTGAGAGAATGTTCCAGGCAGGGCGCTGTGACACTTGCATCAGCCTGCCGACTCCTCCCACCACAGACCAGAAGACCCCGCGGAGTCCCTGCACGGATGTTGGATGTGTGGAGGGATATTTGGGGGTCACTTACAGCTTTTTCTCTAGCTCCTCCCCTTTAGAATGACACCCCCCCTAATTTCTGTGACCAGGTTTGTCTTCTGTTCCCCCAGAGAGAATGACATCACGGCGGTGTTGGATCACACGTTCTGCGTGGAGCACAGCGCGTACGGTGAACTCATCCAACATGAGCTGAAGCCAAACGGCAAGAGCATGCCGGTGACCGAAGATACCAAAAAGGAATACGTCAGGTGGGTAAGCTCCCCGCTGTCCAGGTCATGTGGTGACATTGGTGCCCCGTCATTGGCCGGCAGAGATTAAACGTTCGGCTTGCTGTCCGATGTCTGTGCGATATAAAGTGAGCGTGACTGAGAGAACAAACGTCACATGACTGTGGCTGCAACCTTGATTGGCCAGAAACGTCTTCTGTGCCCCCCTGGGCCCTGACCTTGTGGCAAAGCTCCTATGGCTACGGCTCGGGCTCAGTGAGGCGCTTTCATTGGACGGGGAGATGGCAGGTGGGGCATGACTCGGGTCCTAGTAACCTTGTGCCCTTCCAGTAGCCAGTCAGTGCAATGTCGGCTCCGTGGGCGCTGATGGCGGGGCCGAGTGTCGCTTTGACGTAGGGACTAGTCTGGTCACATGACCCTCGGGCCCCCGATGGAAATGATTTGACGTCTCTGCGGTTTGTGGTTGCAGGTTGTACGTGAACTGGCGGTTCCTGCGCGGGATCGAGGCGCAGTTCCTGGCTCTGCAGAAAGGTTTTAATGAAGTTATCCCGCAACATCTGCTGAAGGCGTTCGATGAGAAGGAGCTGGAGGTGAGTCCGCGGCTCAGACCCGTCCCCCGCGTGACGCAAGCCTAGGGAAGGGGGGAGCTGGGACTTGTAGTTCTATGCAGCCTGATTTCATCTCCGCTTCTCCTTCCCAGCTGATCATTTGCGGCTTGGGGAAGATCGATGTGAACGATTGGAAGGCCAACACCCGGTTAAAGCACTGCACGGCCGACAGCAACATCGTCAAGTGGTTCTGGAAGGGGGTGGAGTCATTCGATGAGGAGAGGAGGGCGCGGCTGCTGCAGTTTGTCACCGGGTCGTCTCGTGTCCCTCTGCAAGGCTTCAAAGCATTACAAGGTAACCTGTGACCTCCCGGGGTCCACCCTCCCCCCAGGTGCCGGGGTCCACCCTCCCCCCAGGTGCCGTCCCTTCCCCCATAGCATACCCCAAGTGTCTGATTCTGTGTTACACCCCCCTTCCCCCATAGCATACCCCAAGTGTCTGATTCTGTGTTACACCCCCCTTCCCCCATAGCATACCCCAAGTGTCTGATTCTGTGTTACACCCCCCTTCCCCCATAGCATACCCCAAGTGTCTGATTCTGTGTTACACCCCCCTTCCCCCATAGCATACCCCAAGTGTCTGATTCTGTGTTACACCCCCCTTCCCCCATAGCATACCCCAAGTGTCTGATTCTGTGTTACACCCCCCTTCCCCCATAGCATACCCCAAGTGTCTGATTCTGTGTTACACCCCCCTTCCCCCATAGCATACCGCAAGTGTCTGAATCTGCCTCCCCTGTAGCATGCAATCTCCTCTGTGAGGATGTTTTGGGGTTCTCCTCCTCAGTAATATTTGTGTTCCCGCCTCTAGGTGCCGCCGGCCCGCGGCTCTTCACAATTCATCAGATTGACGCAAATACCAACAACCTCCCCAAGGCACATACATGGTGAGTGTCCTGTACGGGTCCGGCCTGCGCTGCCAGGGGCCCGTCACTCGTGTCTGCTGGGACTCATGGGGGGGATTATATAGGCCGTCCACCCTACAAGTGCCAGGAGGGGATGTTTCTGTACACGGCTCTATACAAAGAAGACGAGAGGAATGTCCAGATTCCTCCGTTACTCTTCTCTTCCCCGAGCGTCACCAACGTGCAATCTAAAAGTCATGACACTTGGAAGTGGGAGGAGCCAGGGAAGGGGGTTGTCCCACAGACTCCATAGCACTGGACTGCAGAATGGTAAAGATGGCGTCTGGTAGGCTGAGGCTTCCGTTGTTGCTCAGAAGTTCCATCGATAAACCAAACTCCATGCACCTTGGGTGGAGGGCAGATTGGTGAGGGGGAGTTGGGGTCACCAGTGAGGGCTGAGCTGGGACCCCTAATTGTAGGCGGCTCAATATGAAGGTGCTTGTTATCTCAGAAGCTGCTCCCCGCTGGATGCGTGTCCCGGGGGTTCAAACTCCGGCTGCGTTTTCTATCCAGCAGGGAGGGGGCATGGGGGGCCCCATGTAATGATAGCAGTTGGTGTGTACAGCCGGGGACATAGTTACTCGGATCTGACTGCCGGTGACACCAAGGGATTGGTAGTTACTCGGATCTGACTGCCGGTGACACCAAGGGATTGGTAGTTACTCGGATCTGACTGCCGGTGACACCAAGGGATTGGTAGTTACTCGGATCTGACTGCCGGTGACACCAAGGGATTGGTAGTTACTCGGATCTGACTGCCGGTGACACCAAGGGATTGGTAGTT